GCTTCGGTGTTGCACAATGATAACATTAGGGGGTTGAGGTTGCTGGTAGTTTTGTCCTTGTCCTGCACCGAAGCGTGTAGGTAGGACTAGGGGCCTGCTACGCCTGAAAGAGGCTGTGGCTTGTGTAGAGGATGTCCATGTCCTCCGGTACCAAGCTTGTAAGTGCGGGCAATTGCTTCCTTGGACGGTCCTTGGACTCCCCCGAATGGCCTGCTCTTGTAAGGCCCGCATCAGAGGCTACTTGCATTCCAGCCCTTGAAGCCCAAGAGTCCAAGAGCTTCAATCGTCATGGAGTCTTTCATGTAGTTTTACCAAAACAGTAGCAGAAATGATGGATGTGTTGCTAAAGGGGTGATAGTCATGACATCAGGAACCTGAACAGTACCCGTTCGGGTTCCTTCTTTTTTGTTGGGAAAGCTTTCCGAAATAGTGCCGTGTTTGATGGAATGCTAAGGCAGGAAGAATCGGCTACAGAGCCCATAGGCTCGGGTGCACCTCAACATGAACCATGTTCACAGAAATAGTAGCTCTGCATAATACAGTATTATGCACGTGCTGTAATATTCTATTGTCGTTCTTCTACAACAGTATTGCTCGGCTTTGGCGTGCAATCCGTGGCTACTGGTTTCGATCATGACATTGTTTTTCCAACATGGCCCTAGACCCTAAACGGTTAAGGTCGTGGATTCAGTCTTTGCAGTTGGGGCTTGGGGATCAATAGTTCGGGTTTCGGAGTTGTGGTAGAAGGGATGGCTGGGTCGGTAGGGTTACTTTGTGCCAATTCATTCGCTTTCATTGGGTGATAGGTCAGCTGCGTGTTAAGAGTTTCTTTCATGGGATTGCATCACAAAGGATGTACACCCTAAACCCTAAACCCTAAAGTAGAGTTGAGAGCTGGCCGTTGGAGCTCCTTCTGTGCTCCTGTGGGCGTTTATGATACACAGGGGCAGCAAGAAGAGAAACTTGTCTTGGAACCTTTTGTCGAACCTTTGAAAGCTCCTTCAACAAAGGATAGCAAAGTCTCCAATTTTCTAAGCCCCCATGCCCAAAGTATGACCAAGTCTTGTGGCTTTTGGTTTGAACTTCGTCGCGTTTGCAAGCACAAGGCACCCTGATTTTGGTTACTGTGGCGTAGATAGTGGGGAGTGCCCCTGGATGCAAGACATCATGATTGGAGAGTTTTTCGAAATACTTCCCATCAGTTCCTTCTATGTACGCCTTTATCTGTCTTCGCTCTCTACGCGGGTCCTTCCCTTGAACGCAAATGTGCATTACTTGGTGTTGCTTTGCCCCCTCATCAGGCACCTGCCTCATCTGCTTCCTAAGAGCCTTGATAGCTCTGAAATGCATATCAGAAGGGCTCTATTTCCAAGGCTGCAGAGAGCAGGAACGAAACGAGAGTTGATACTTTTCAGGGATGCCAGAGGGGGTGGAGCCTGAGGGACCATAACATCTGAGAACCCACTTATGGCCGTGCTTTTAAAGCGACGTGGCAAAGGGCCCTTCAACCAAACCACAGCTGCAAGCCTGATATCCCTTGACCAAAAGCCCTGAAAAGCTGGCCAATGGGTGCAGGCACGTTGGAAGGAGACGGAGCAGACGTCGCCGTCACTTCAGCTCCACGTGCAGAACCCATCCCAGGCATATTTTCGGGTTCTCAGATAATGCTTCTGAGTTTCAGGGCTTCAGGGTGGGTGTGAGGGGAAATGAGCCTGAGGAGGGTCTACGCTGAGGGCTGGGTTCAGAAGCAAGACAAAAGCCAGGACTTGTCAGAGACTCAGCAGCTTCTACCGCTGACATGATCAGAGATGGTGTGGCGACCATTGCAAACAGGAGGAGGAGGAGGTGCAGCACTAGTACTCAGTAGCATACTGTCAACGCCAGCATTCCGACAAGCATGATAGCGGTGGAGAACTTAGAGCAAGGAAGGCATATTGAGCAAGGACCAAAGGGTTTCTGACATGCGATCCACCATTCCAGCTCTAGCCGACTCTCTGAAGCGATGAAGTCCAGCTGCGCAGTGTAAATTACTGAGACTGACGCCGTGCTCAGCTTCTGGACGTTGCGTTGGGAAGCTTCATAAACCTTATCACTTAGTGTCAGTGCTCCTATGCAGCTCGGGGTTTCCACGAAGAGTATCAACAGGAAGACTTTCAGTCACATGCTTCCCCCCCCCCTCACGACCTTGAAGGCATCAAAGGTGGTAAACTCCATCCTCCCTATCTTGGCATACCTTGTGCTCTGACTGGTAAAATTGAATAGCTTGCAGGCTCGCAAACTTGGCCCGTGGTCCTTGGGGACAGGTGTTCCCGCAGGCAGGGCAGAAGGGCTTGTGTAGCTTTGTCTGTTACAGTACTTTCATAACGCCGACTGCGGGTTAGGTACTTGAGGGTGGAGGTTGTGTCACCGGTTATAGCTGGAGTTCTGGTCAAATCTTCTGAAGAGGGTGTAGTGAGGCAGTTTTCACCAAGCAAAAGCTGATGTTTAAATCGCCCAAGCCGGGAAATGGAGAGAACCCCGCCAGAAGCTCTGAGGTCTGTATGTAGACATAGGCAACTCGCGGACTCATGGCAATCAGGACAGTTATGTTTGTCTTGTGAAAAGACTGCTTTGTATACTCGCAAATTACCAACGGCTTTTCTGTGAAGGATCCTATTCTCAGACATACCTGGCTTGCACTGTCTTGTGCCCAGGAATGCATACAGGTGCGGCGGTGATCGGTGTTGCTGCAGGCCAAGGATTTGGGTAAGTGCCGGCAGGGTTGTAAGCTCTTGGTAATACTCCTCCATCCAGGACCCTCTTCGGGATCCTCTGGGATTTGACAATTTGCAAGCTGACTGATTACGCAGTTGGAGTGAAGTAGTGGATCATGACATCGTCTCTGGGCAGATCCTTGCAACAAGCACTGCCGACCAGAGTAGGAGCCTCTGTCTGTGGGAAAACAATTGTCGGGCATCTCTATCACTGACTCGGCTCAACTTCGCAACAAACAGATTGGTCAGTGACTACGCCGAGTATCCTAAAGCCCTAGAAGCCTCCGCCAGCCTTCTGTGTCCCTGATCTACTGCAGTACTTATAAAGAGTTCCCCGCCCACACCGTAGTATACCCTGAAGGTTGGGCTGTAGCTATGACGTGGAGAAAGACAGCTGCACGGGCTGCCGTGATGACAATCCTTTTGCAGCTTGATGTGAAACAAGAATCACCTCTCGTCATTCGGGGTCACCCTTACCCACCGTTAGTTATTTACATGGTTGCAAGGTTCCTCGCTGCTGGGTTGAGTTGCACACGCAGACACGCACGAGTGGAAATGCTTTCCGGTAAGCTTGGCCTGTGCTTTGGGTGCCCATGGACGGATGATCTGAGGTTGCTGCTTTTCACATCCCTTCTTCACATCTCTGGAAAGAGCGGGCTCAGGGGATTCTCGGACTCCAGTGCTGCTGTATCGGTGGTGGTGGTGGTAGAGGTGACGGCAGCTGCGGTGGTCGTATGATCATGATGACCGCTGTAGGATTCCTCTCTTTGGTGCAGCTGTAGCCGTTGTCGTGGTTCTCTTAGCTGCCCACAGCTTGCAGTTCTGGCATCCCTGATTCAGTGGGTGCCCTAAGTTTAATCTGCAAGGATGTTCCCCTTAACTGCCCCCAGCCAGTATTCTGACTGTAGAGATCCTGAAAAGCGGTGCCTTCAATTGCTTAGAAGCCCCCAAGCCCTAAACTCTCCAACTGGTATGTTTGCTCATCTCTGAGGATCTGCACGCCCAAGAACAGACCCTGCCTCAGAATCTCTATGTTACTGATATTCTTGCGATTACTATTGCCATGATCTGATAGATATGATTATTGCCAGTATCGAGTGATGTTTGCATTGCAACCAAGAATGGGGATGGCAAGACACACGGCAGGGATTAGCAACAACCACATTGTATCGCTGCATTTACAGCTACAAGCTTCATGCCGTGCTTCAGCTGACTTTCCAACAGTTGCTGTGCTGCAGATGTGGGGAGGTTGGTCGAGGGGTCGAGGGCTTCTTGATTCGTACTTGAGGTCACCTTTGTGGCCGCTCTTGCTGCTGCAACGCAGAGTTCCTCTGGAACTTGGAGACACGCGAGTGCTGCTTGGACTACGCGGCATCAACAGCGGCTATGCCTATGCAGATTACATGAGCGAGGGAGTTGTTCTGCTCATGTGATGCTATCCATAGCGGAGATGCCCAAGGCCAGCACACCACAGTGGCCGCTCGAAAGGGCAAAAAAGCGCCGGACCCACCCGCATCTCCTCTGATTATGGCTTTTGGCATGTTGCTATTTGTATTGGGGTTGTTTTGGGGTTATATTGGGGTAATATCGGGGTTATATTATGGGTCTCTGAAGCTCTCCGGGTGTAGACATGCCTGTGACGTCATGACAAGGTACCTCGTGAGGCTCCAATCCCAGGACAAGGGCTTGCCTGCATATGAAGTCATACCCCTGGCAACCATGTCCATCTGTGGGGCCATGCCATAAAATTTTGGTACAAGCTTCATGGGATGTTTGTTGTCTGCTGTTCATGGGCATGTGCTTAGCTTCCTGTCTTCTATGTAGCTCTCAAGGTCTTGAGGAGTACGTGCAATAGCTTGCAGAGGATCTCAAACGTGGGGCAAGGGCGAGACCTGCGAAAGCAGGACGGACGAGGGACATGCGCAGCAGGGGTGATAGGGGTGGTAGGAGGACCCTAAACCCTAAGCCCTCCGCCTTAAACCGTGAGTCAAGCTTTCGGACTTAGAGTGGCTTACTTGCGGGGTGTTCTTATACCACGGGTGGAGTTTGACATGGACAGTGGGTGTGTTGCTGGTGCGGAGAAAGGAACCCTAAAGAGGGCAAGACCAATTTAATTTCACTGAAGAGACTGCGGTACGTATATCCTGAATAAAACGATCCTTGTGGCCCAGTCCTGGAGCCCCCTATCATACCTGCCATGCTAGGAGTGCATACCTCTGCAATGATGGTAAGCACTGCTGCTGTCGCATGGGGTGCACCTACGATGTTGAGTATGACGAATGTCGAGGCTGCAGTGCTTCAGCTGCACCTAATGACCTAATGTGATGGCTAAACACATCACAGTTTCCTTTTCGTGTTCTTTGCGGCAATCATCTACGTATCTTTTCGTTTGGGTTTGGTGGGGTTTGGGTTTCTGCTCTGACTCCTGCTTTGAAGCAGGTTGGATGTTGGGACATTGGGCACAAATAGCTGCCCAACCTACAAACATGACTTTCAATTCAAACTTCAAGCAAGATGCGAGCCGGCTTCACTTCCTTGAGTCACAGAGGTTCGCAAAGATCAAGGTAGCATTAGTAATACTGGTAGGCTTTGGCCGTCATGGTGGCCGATTGGGAGTTTGGAAGCGATTGTTGGGGCTTTAACAGTCTTTCTTCATGGAGCTTCATAGTCTCACAGGAACGTGCAACAAAAAACGCTCTGAACCATAGATCTCCCAATGAACCCACATGAGCCCTTTGATTCTTTCGAAAGGTCGTTGCCAAATCGGGTTTCGCCACCTGCTAAGGTGACAGTCATCCTGATGTCACGAACTTCCACATCCCTGCCTCACAGCTTTGGAAGAGCCGCATGGAGGTGCTTTTAGCATTGGGGGAAGTGATTTTAGTAGGTTGTTTTTTGTTTTTTGTGATGTAGGGTTCAATGGTTCCGGTATGGCGATTCGGGTTTTTGGTTCATGGATTAGAGTTTTGGATGTTTCAGGTATAGGGATAGAGGTTCTATTTTCCGGAGATGTAGTGGTGTGTCAGCAGTATCCAAAGCTGCACTGAGTTGTGGCCTTGCAGGAGCATGTTTGCACAGCGCCGCGCAGCCATCCCTGCGGCAAGTCATGCTGTGGCGACCTCAGCTGAGTCAAGGAAGTTTCTCAAACCGAGACCCTAGGGCCCTAGGGTAGATTGGGCTACAGAGCATAATGGGGCTTCTTTTGCGAAATTACTGTATCGCAAGAGAGTAGAGCCTGCGCTTAGGACAAGAGAGGAGTGCTGCAGCAACCAGGTGGAAACAGGTGTAATTAGGCCTCATCTTAGAAGCCTACTACAGCAAGGTCAAGCGACAGGAATTGCAATTGTGGTGGTATGGTGGAGGGTCTTCGATATATGATTTAGTGTATTTCGTGCGATCATGCCGTGATGAGTCTTTGTTTCAAGCGTTGCAGCGTTGACTGGTAGTTCCCCAAAATGGGGGGACCCCAATATGGACCTCGAAATACTATAACCCACCCCAAGAAGGTACAGCTAATTTTGGGAATCCCACCAAAAATCTTGTCTGCCTGTGGGCCATGTTCTGACCGGTACTTAGCTGTTGAGCTGCATCCTGCAAGCCTCTCAATTCCCATGCGATGCGTTTGCAAACTCTTTGAACAACGGATCACACGCGGATGATGTAGGGCTGACTGATACCCCTGTGCGGAGTAAATGGCTTGCGCTATCATCGAGATACGTCCTGAGCATCTCATCAGCCCGGCTAAACATTTGTAAGCATATGCAAAATCCTCGCATGAGCATCTTCATCCCATGTGGCACGGCACGCAGCTCTTGCCTAGTATCTTAGCCGGCACTAACTCCTTGGTCTAGTATCCGCAAATCATGGCTCCTCATAGGTATTGTATTTTTTTGGCGTACATTGCGGACCCCAATTTGCGGAACTACACAGACTCCATTCTGGAAAAGTTTGCAGCATAGCTTCTCAGAGGCTGCAACGCCGAATGGAAGTGGGATCTCGAGCAAAGGCAGGTGACGTAGGGGGTTGAGGAAACTTTCGTTTTGGGGGTTGGGGAGTTTCCAAAATCAGGGATCTCTTTTGCGATTGTCATGGATTCAATTCAATTCGTGCGCTTTCAGGCTTCTCAGGTTTCTGTATGTAGAGAAGCTGCCTTGTTACCAACTGGAAAGCGCGTTTAAGGCCGTCTATCAAATCTGCTTTGCTTGGGAGTTTCTGAAGACACATGTAGATGTTCCTTAGGGGGATCCCCATAATGCCCTAATAATCCCTACATATCTTTTTGGAAAAAGCCCACCTGTTCTTCAAGTTGTGCGAAGGCAGTGCGTGAAAGCAAAGGTGCTCCTCGGCGAGCTACTGGGCTTCAGCATAAGGTTTAGGGTTTCGGGTTTAAGGCTCAGGGTGAAGGGTTTAGGGCTCAGGGTTTAGGGTTTAGGGTTTAGGGCTTAGTAACTTATGGTTTCGGGGCTCAAACTAGGGTTCAGGGTTTGGGGTCTACTTCTCGCAACAATCCTTCTGTAATCCCAAAGAAGGACCCTCATCATCCCCTTATTATCATGGCATAGCTGTATTCCCATAAGGGGGGGTTTGCAAGATTCGCGCCCTTTTTCGCTGGCCCCTGTAATGAGGATGCCGCAATTCATCAGTTCTGGTTTTGGCGAATGTGCCCTTGGATCCTTCAAGGAGCCAATGGCAGTCCTTCTCATCATGCTTGCAGTCATCACTCCTCAAAGAGATCCACATAGGGCTTCTAGGACTTTACAAGGCTTTCTATTGTAGTTCTGTTTACCACAAGGAAACCCCAAACCCAAGCCAAGCACGGGCTGATGGGAAGGGTTTAACCACAACTCCTGGCCCCAAGCCAAGAACAGGCCGTGACTGCAGCAAACCTAAGCTTGCACAGAAACTCGGCTTGCAGCTAAGGAAGCCCTCACCATCTCCGCCAGAGTCGAAGCCACCTGATCCAGACCCGATTTTTGGACTGCATTTTCTCAGGACTAAAGATCTCAGGGGGTCAGGATTGCAAGGAAGGCCATGCTGGTGTGTGTGTTTCACAGTGGCCGATTCTGTTTATTCCCTGTTCTGTCAGAGGCGGCCTTCTGCTTTCTCGAGGCACAGCCTATTCCTAAGAGATGACATCAAAATCCCAGGTTGCCAAACACACCCCAATCCCTCGCTCCACAATGCACGATGCCATGCTCACGCTCCTCAAGCCATCAAATCCCCAAAATGCACAATCATCCCAAATCGATAAGCCAAGCTTTCGTTTCGAAGCCGAGGATTCCTGGATCCCAGGTTTGGGACTCGTGCGAGGCCTGCGCTAGAAATAATCCTGCCTTCCCTATGCAAGGTTTCGGTCAGGGTAGTTGTGGGTGTCAGGTCTAGGGTCTATAGCTGAGTGGCTGAGAAATTAGGTTTAGGGATCAGTCTCGAGAGCTTTGGGATTATCGGGATTCGGATTTTAATCCGGTTTCCCTACTGGCAGAATTCCATTGTCAAGTTCTCATGGAGGTAACGCATACAATCTTCCTAAACCCTATATTATATAACACCATGATAGTAATTAGTTTCCATTTTCTTTCCCATTATCCCTATATAACGCCTATAAACCCCTATATAACCGAATCGGAACCCTCAATCCAACAATATAACATACTACAATACAATATACTTTAATATACTACAATATCACTCTAGAATACTATCTTGAGCACAACGGCTTTGAAGCCTAGGCTCGGTCTGCATACCAATGTGGCAAGGGCCACTGCTGCTGTATGTTTGGCTGCACGTTCGACGTGGAAGCCGATTCGTGCACGGGATGCCGCTGGATGCTTCATCTGGGAAATTGTGTCTGTTTGGTCAGACTCATTGTACAGCAATGCTTGCACCAGTATGGTTAAAGTAAATTCCACAAATGCCGGAAAGAAGGGCCATGCTCCTCCTCCTCCTCGTCCTCTTCGTCAGCTTCATCATCATCATCATCATCATCATCATCACTGTCTCGTATGGTGTTTCCAAAACCAAAGATGTTAATCTAGACTCTATGATACTACAATCCTTATTTACTTTTTCAAAGCCTCATGTGGATGTTGCGGGGATCCGGAAGCCAAGGCAGAGCCAACGACCCCTCAGTGATTCTGTTCCATATCCCTTCATCCCATCGATGGACTGGGAGGAAGCAGGCCATGAGGGAGCTGTTCAGTTCACTGCCTGTTTGTGTGCTGCGCGTCCGTGCTTCTATGAGCGTGGTCCAAAAGGCCGGATGTCATGATCCCTACAAATGTGGGAGCTGCGACGCAAAGCTAAGCCATCGATGTGGTTGGTCCTGTTGTTGGGAGCTTAGCTGCAGATTGAATTCCCCAACCTGCAAAGAGCACAGACCTAAGGCTGCAATGCCGGCTACACATGGAACCTGGAGCAGCGAAGGCCCTCAGCGGTCCTTGTTCTCCAGCCACTTGCTGCCACTAGGTCCCCAACCTGAGCTTCCTTGCCTGAACTGGGGTTTCACAGCAAACCATGGTTTTCTGCGTCGTCTAGTCCTCAGTTGTCGTTCCGAATCTGCTACAGGTGTGTGAAGCACAAGGGGAGTCTCGGCTGCATCTACCACGCTCGCTTCCGGTGGCAATTAACAGAAGGAATTGAATCAACACCTCCCAGATTTCCTGCCGGAGACCAATGATTCTGTATTATCTATCTCTTACAATGGCCCTTCCTAAGGAGATAACCCATGGCTTCTGGCCAAAGGGCTCAGGTTTTGAAGACCTGAGCTTCAGGGCTGGCAGAGTCCCTGCGAAGCTGGAAAAGCGCAAGAAAGGTATATGATCTGCAACGCGACGCTGCTCTTATTCAAGGCTGAATTTCAAATTAGGGTCAGGATTTTTTCGAGCCAGCACAGGATTGGAGTTGAGCCATCCTGTTCTCCAGGATTTTGGCTCAAAGACATCAGTAGCACCAGGGTATTCAGTCAACTTTTTGACATGTTCGCCCGGGCCTGGATCCTTCTTCCCCTGGTGGCGGCGACCGCTATCCCCGACCCAGACTGGGAGGCCTTCAAGCACAAGTACCAGAAGATGCCCGGCTCAATGTAGAAGCCTAAAGAATTACGGATATTGTTATTAATTACTACTTGTATTAGTATTATTGCTATTACTATTTTGAGTACTATGATTATTACTATTATTTCTACTATTATTACTATTACCATTATGTGTACTATTACTATTGCCTTTACTATCATTGTCCTGCCCCAAGATGATATTGATAGTTATTCCGGCCACGGGGCAAGGGCAAACAGTCTCTTGGTAGCTTTGTGTTGGGGATTCCAACTGCAGCCCTGTGTAAAGCATCTTATCATGTCGGGCAATCATGTGATTTGCTTACATTTTCAAGCATGTGTGCAAATTTTTATCAGAATACGCAGCTCCGCCAACCCAGCTCAGGAGTGCCGTTTGTGGTATCCTAACCCCAAACTTGCGGGATGTTAGGAGGGAATGGAGGAACGAATCCCTACAGGCAGCCCGAACATAATCCTCAACAATTTAGTACTTTCCATTTTCTTTGCCCAACCTAAGACCCAAACAGTAGCTACAACTTTATTTTTCCATTTTTTCCTTCATTCCCTACCAGCAACAAGCAAGTCTAACTTAACACGCTAAACCTATTCATATGGTTGTCCGTTCTCTACCCTAAACCCCTGAACCCCAACTACCCTAAACCTTAAACACTAAACCCTAAACCTTGTACCCTTAAGCCCTGAACCCTAAACCGCACAAAATCCCTACACCCACCTGAAACCTGACCTTGGTCCTGAGGAGCTACTCCAGCAAAGGCGAGGAAGCGGCGCGCTACCAACTGCGCCTTGTGCTCGCTTCGGGTTTATAGGGTTTATAGGGTTTAGGGTTTAGGATGTAGGGCTTGGGATTCAGGGCTTAGGGTTTAGAATTCTTGCATGTAGGATTTAGGGTAGGGGTCCAGGCTTTTTTGTTTTGACAGCTCTGGCTAGGTATGAGTATGGAGGTGAAGCTGAGACTTTAGGGTGCAGGGGTTTTGGAATAAGGCTTTCTGAGGTTTAGGTTTCTTCTCCAGTGGTCATTTTCTTTTTTGGTTGAGAGTTTCTTCAGAAGCATGTTGGCACGCACACGCATACGCTAGCCGCCATCTTATAAATTGTGCCTTCCTTTCACGGAGCCAGTAGCGACCGCGCGGTCGGACTATTACGGTCTTCCACTCAAGGGTTTTTGACTGTCACGGTATTGTCTGCTCGGAGAGTTTTTGACAGTCACCGTCTGGCTGACCGTGACAGTCCAAGATCCTCTGATGATCGAGGGTCCCTCTGGTGTGGGCTGAGAATCAATAGGACTCCTGCGATTTCCAATGTGCATCAACAAGTTAATACTATTGTTCATGATTGTTGCTTCCTTGTAGCAAGCCCTACGGATCCCCCAAACGGTGAGCAGCAAATCGCGTTAGAGAGAGCAATATGGGTGTTTCGTATTTTCAGGAGCTGAGACTACGAATGGTTGACTTCCGACCTGAACCCCACCGCCATGATCATCAGTTACCTGCAGACTTGTTCACTATGTTAGACTAAGGGGAATTCTCAATTCCCGGACTTAGGTTATTGATTATTTGTTCGGTCATCTCCCGCGTGATGATACAGAGATACCCTTAGGTTCAAGGCCACGAAGCAGCGAGTCGAGCATCTGAACAAGCTGAATGGCGAGCCTGCTCTCGGGCAGCATTTCGCTGATGCTGTCACCATCTCCACTACCTCACTGCAATTCCTCTTAGTGCTACCGCCACCAGTAGTCTGCTTGTAATGGCAGCCTTCGGCACATTTGCTTTTCTGGACATGCTGTTTGATTTTCACTCGCCTTTCTGTGGTTGTACACCCAGAAGTCTGGAGGTGACACGCCTCTTCAACTGGGTTCAAATTTCTCCGCTTTGTGGCTAATAGTCCTCATAAGAAGAATATCAATAGTAGTACTCATAGTGATGATAGAGTCGTTATAACAATAGTAATAGTAAGTATACTTATCACAGTTATAACAGCGGTAAAGATAAGATATCATGTTGCTTCACACCGTGGTGCATTCGTTCTGTGATGTTGCTTCACGGTGTCTGGCATGAGATTGTGAAGCGAGATTTTGTGGCAGTTTCTAGCCTCTCAGGTGCTTTGCTGTGGTCATCATTATCAGTCGGCCAGTCTCATCATCATCCTCATCATCATTGTTATAGTTATCATAACCATCATGTCATGTGTGTCCCACAGAGACACTTTGAGTCATTTTCTGGGCGCAAGTCTGCGGTTTCTTGGATGGATGCCGCATCTCAGGCCTTCGGCATCACGTGGATGGCGGACCGCTACGACCAGGAAAAGTACAAGAGGCCTGAGTATGTGTGGAAGTCTTGTGTTGAGCCTTTCCACCTCCAAGCATCTGGTCAGTGGAGGCAATACTATAATCTGCACTTACAGCTAGAACGAAATGCCCATGCCAAACGCAAAAATAGGTAAGCATATGTGTGTGTATATGCCTATATATGTGGTTTCATCATATTTTCTGTACTTGTATATCCGCATTGTTCGCACTGCTTGAGTTGGAAGTTGCTTCTGCAGGGGCCACCATAAGCCTAAGGGCTTTGTGCCCGTGGCGCCAGTGCGCAGCTGGACTGTAGTTGGATGACACGGTGAGTTCCGGATCCGGAGGGGAGAGATGCAAGCAATGCTGGTGTACATAGTATAGACCCCCTTATGTCGACAGAATATGGCTTTGGGTATTTTATATTAAAATCCCCATATATTCTATCTACTTAAGGGGAAAATATATCTTTGAGTGAGCGAGAAGTCGCAAGCCGGCCGAGTTTATTCGGACTCGAAGCAGAACTCAGAGTCTGTGAATTTGATGCTGATGCCCGGGAGTCTTGCAAGCAAAAAAACACACAGGATGGGAGTTTACCCTGACTAAGTCCAGTTGCTGTTGATGCGAAGTCTTACTTGAGCAGCTCCCAAACCCTGTACTCTAAACTCTAAACCCGAAAAACAAAATCCTAAAAACTAAACCCTAAACCACTAAACCTGAAACCCGAAACTGGAGTTTGATTTTTCGGCGGTCAGGGCGAGGGCTGAGAAAATCAAAATTTCCAGGGCTTCAAGAAATAGGGGCACCCTTTTTTGGGGTCCCTATGACAAGGACTCTCAGAATTTTGGGGTCTATATTGGGGTCCCTCTGTTTCTGAACAGTACTGAATTTCAAGTTCCATACCGCAAGGTCTTTTCCAGTGACCTTTTCTATCTAAACTCCAGCTCTCATCCCTTATCCCCACAGGCCAGAGCTCTAAACCTTGCTTGAAGAATCACGGCTCGTTGTAAGTGGGTCGGAACTAGATATTTGCCTTAGTTTTGATCCACTTACAGTTGTGTTCTGATCCTATTTTCTCAGCATTCATAATTCTATTTTGAGCTACCTAGGAATCAGGCACTCAATGCGTATCGTCCCAAGATACGGGTAACCCTAACCCTATCATAAACTCAAGCCTAAACTCCCAAACCCTAAGCCCTGATTCCTGAACTAAACCTCTGACGTTAAAGCCTGACGCGTATAAACCCCAGGTAACTTCACCAATCGCGCCCGCACGGCCACGGCCGTGGACTGGCGCCTCACGGAGGCCGTGACGCCCATCAAGAACCAAGGCCATCATCTTGGTTTTCCGGGTTTGCGGGTTAGGCGTACGGGTGTAGTGATTAGGGGTTAATATTGAGATAGTGGTCCATTTTAGGGGTTCGGGCGATTCTGGCTCTGGCCATTATTACATCTTCTACGTTTTGCTTGGTATTATTGGGCCTTGAGACTACGATGCGTGAAGCAACGCGCAGACCTTGTTTGCATGCTCCAAGCGGTTACGGAAGTTTTTTGCCCTCCCAAACCTTAAAACTAGAAAGTTGAACCCTCCATTGCCAATGCTTGCTGGACCTTCTCCTTTCGAACAAGTTTCATTCCTGATGATCCCCTGCCCCAGGCAGGGGATCGGAACACCAAGCTACAGGACCCCAACTTTAATGCCAAAGCTTGAAGCAAAAGGCCCCACGCCCTGCTTCCTCGATCCCCGAATACTTTGCAGGGCAGTGCGGATCTTGTTGGGCCTTTTCAGCCACGGAAGCCGTGGAATCCCAGCTGATCATGGCTTCCGGCGGAAGGCGCTGGGGAATGAGGAAGTTGATAGAGGTTTCCAAACAGATTCCGAAAGTTGTGATGCAAGTCCTTGAGGTCTTAATTGTTTGAGTAAATACATGGTGAGACAGGTTGGGATAATTAGCTTGGGGCATTTTTCATGCAACAGTTAGTAATGAAGTACAGCTCTCTTGTCCTGAGAGCATGTAGGCAATTCCTTGGGAAATTGGATGTGAGTATAGGCAGACAAAATCAACTATCTGTAGCACAGTTTGTATTAAACAGAGGGGAGTGCAGCAACAGCAGGTATGACATTGAGCTTTCGCCTCAGCAGATCACCAGCTGCGCACCAAGCACCGGGACCTATGGCTGCCAAGGCAAATGGAGGAGACCTTGATCATGTTGACAGCTTGCATGATGGAGAGTGAGTACCCTTGGTCGGTTGTTATGCTTGCGATGGTTGTCACTGCTGTGACCTCAAACTGATCTGAGCAAGATACTTACGTAGCTGGAGGACTTTACACAATGCCCGCAGTGTTAAAGCTGCTGTTCCTACATTGCAAACTCCGTGTACGCAATGCTACCATCCTAAGAATGTACAGCTTCGCCGGAGCCTGTAGAAGACTTTGAAGAAGCGCCGAGGGTTTCGGCAAACAAAAGTGGCAAGCATGTCATGAATGTTCACAACACCTATTTCCCACAGGGGTGTTTCCCCACAAGAGGAAGCAGTAGATTAGCCACGATGAGGATAAGATGGTCCCTGGCAAAAACTGACCCTGTCAGGTTGCAACGGGGGCTTCACAGAGGCACGTGCGAGTTGGACGTCCTTACCCCAAATCTGGTTTTCAGAAGATAGTGTATTCAAACCAGAGGCACTTTGCCCGTGGCCTGAACAATGCAAGCTGTTTGGTGTAAATCCTAAGAGACGACTGAAGCCTGAGAGTTGATACCCTACCCTATCGACAAAGCCTCTGCAAACGCCCCTTGAGGGTGCATATGAGTACCTCAAGACGGTCCCCGGCCTCGCCAACAGCTCCTCAGCTGCATCTTCTCCCCTCCACTCTGCACCCCTTTTTCCCACCCCTTATCTGCTGTACGTACCGCAGAGACTTACCCTTCTTGCTCGCATGATGTGCCATCTCGAGGCTTCTACATCCCCTATGAGCAGAGCCTGACGGAGTCCACAGACACTGCTGCCTGCCCCAAGTCGAAGGCGGCAGCCAGCATCTGGACGAGAGCTTCCTAAACCGCACTGTTGCCAGACTTGTTGTAACATAGTCTCTCAACACTACAGCAGAAGGCAGGTAAAACGCGCCGCAATTGAAGTTTAGTTTTGCCGCTTGGTCTCCGGGTTCCTGTTGGAAACAGAAAGCCATGGCAAAGCGCAAGTTACCAATTACTTTCAGTCCCAACTCCCTGACATTTAGAGCTCAATGCCGGTACCACTTTAGGGCCGAAGCAGACTGTTCGCAACTGTGTTGCTTGGGGGGCTCATTCTACATCAACTCTCTGCGGACACAGAGAGTCCATGAAGGCCAGCTAACAATCCCGGAATAATTGCTTCAAGTCTTGTTACATCTTGCTTGCAGAATAGTTCCCTTGTCCTGAGTAGTTCCTGTGCCTGTAGAGAGTGCTGTGATTGTTGTGTTGCAATCAGGTAGAGGATGTAGGTCCCCTTGACCCCTGAAACCTTCGTGCAGTTCCTCAATTTCCTTGTATTCTCCACGAAATTACTCCACTCTACATGACTTCTGTGCAAGCATGTAGGTGTTGTAGAATGGATTCCTTAAGCACTTTTCATCTACTCCCTCCCACATCTCTATAGTATGCGACCGCAGGTGGATGCCATGAATGGGCCTTACATGCAGCTCTCTGGTGGCTATGCAGCTGTGACAGGCCCGATGCTGTTTTGATCAAAGCGAGTTGTTCCGATGAGCAATTTGATTGCAGGTAGCAGTTAACGATATGCTCAATGATATTCAACATTGTATCTTCCCATGTGCAGCAGCCTGCAGCAAGACTTGGGGAGAGGCGCGGTGGACCAGCAGCAGCGGCAGCAGCAGTAGCAGCAGGAGAATGAAGAGGATTGTGAGTAGGAGAAGGTCTTCGTGGTGGCAGCATTGGTGGTTTTGTGATAGCATTGGTGGTGGCAGGAGAAGCATTGCAACAGAACTGATGTTGTTGATCACCGAGACAGTTTGCTAATTTCAGTGGTTGTATCAACCGTGGTAAACCTCACACCTCAGACCTCGAACCCGAAACCCGAAGCGGCAAGGCCTAAACCCTGCACTCATCCCGAATGCCCAAACTGAAGGCTACAGCTACGCGGTGAAGCCTTGCACTGAGGGGACCTGTGAACACCAGGAGTTCGGATGTGAGAAGTGCTGTGCGGTTTGAGGTTCAGGGTCAGGCACTTAGGCCTTTGGGTTTAGGAGGTTTAGGGAGCTTGGGGATTAGCATCAGGGCTCAGTAGCTGAGAGGCGAGGGGGAAGAGGTCTGCAACCCCAAGCCCAAAATCCTAAACCCTTAGCCCTGAACCTTGAAGCCCAAGCGCTCAAACTCTCAAACCACTCATGGGAGCAGATTCTCGCCTGGCCCATGTGAAGAATCTTTTCAGGCCACGTTGCACTCAAAAATCTTGGAAACCATGCGCATACTACCATTTCTGATGGCACGCCGATATGGAGCTCTATGTATGTTGGGGCGGCAGGAATCAAAACAACAACCACTTTGCTTAAACTGACCCACACCCCAACCCAAAGCCCTCAACAATAAGCCCCAGACCCTAAATCCTATGCGCAGAAGCCAAGACGTTACACCCCGAAGTCACTGCCTGGCAGGATCTGAAGGGCTTGGCAGCTGCCATTGCAGAATCTCCCATCTCGGTGTGTGTGGCGTGCTTGCATTGCAAGTGCTTAGTAGCCGTGTTTGCGTAGTGTTTGTTGCGGCTTGGTCAAGGGTTCAACCGCTCCGTCGCATTTCGGTTCCAGATTTCTCATAGTGACGGGTCGGTATTGGAGTCCTTATGGTGAGGATGATGTTTCTTTCGGGCTTACACGCGGACGCAATACCTTTGCCAATAACAGCAAGTGTGGTAAATATCTTCGAGAGAGCGCTTAAAAGCCATGATGCTCGTAAGATGGTAGCAAAAGCAGCAATGCTGCGAAACAATGAGCCTAGACGGCCCAAACCATGTATCCCAAACCCCAAAGTCAAAGCCCAAAAACTTCAGGTCAACGCAGGCGTCTGGAACGACTACACCGGTGGCGTCCTCTCTGCTGCAGCCTGCGGTCCCATGGGCGCAGACTACCAGGCTGTTCGGATTAGAAGTAGCAGCAAGAGGAGGAGTGAGTAGCAGTACCTAGTAGATTCAGCAAGGTGGAAGTGGCAGTAGCAGAAGAAGCAGAAAGACAAGCAGAAGTAAGAGTAGTAGCAGTACGAGGAGGAGGAGCTCATTTCGTGCGTTTGGATTTTGGCTCCTACTTGTAGGGATGTAACAGGGACCTTTGTAACGAGAACCTTTCTTCTTTAGTGTTTTTCATGACGCTTGCCTTGCTGACTACCGTGACCAATACCGCTACATTTTTGGTTCGTAGACTCACGAGTTTCCTGCAGGACCACTGCGTCATGGCTGTTGGCTACAACTCGACAGCTCCCAAGCCATATTGGATCGTCCGCAATTCCTGGAAACGCGGCTGCAATGCACGGGCAGTGTCTGAGCATAAAAGTCACTAGCGTCCTTGCCGCAATGTTTGTGTTCTCCTGAATTTTGCCATCATCTCTACCGGGAAGGATGTCATTCTTGCCAGCCTTCTTGCCTCATGCGTCATTCTTCATCGGCCCTCTGCCCGGAAGGTCTCAAGCGCAGGCACACGTTGCGCGCTATGCATACCTTCGAAGCAAATTCCATGCTAGTTCCACTTAACGGATTTATTCGGCCCTCCAATGCTCCTGAATCCGCTGCAGCCGAGGGCATCGACTTGGGGAATACAGGGCTACATCTACCTGGAGATGGCAAGGGCCTCAGGGGCCTGTCAAGAAGACAGTGTCGACTGGCCTTGTCTGATGTTGCGAACGTCAAGAGTCCAGATCTCAGTACATGTCGTAATGATGATAGCTGCAGCAATACCAATCATGTGAACCCAACCCTCCAAATTGGGAAAGTCCAACTATCATGTTTCCACGATAGGGTCCTGAGTTTGGTGGTTCGGGTTATCACGCGGGAGAAAGATTTGGTCGCATCTCCAGGCTTATTAGTCCTATGGCTGTTTCTCAAGATTATCCCGTATGGGCATTTCACAAATCCTTCGGGTCCCTAGAACCTTCCTAAATTGAGAAGCACTTGGCCTGAGCATAGGACAAGAACACCTGCGGTGTCGCGGATGACGCAACAATCCCCCATGCCGCCCGTCCTTGACATTCCGTTCAAGCTCTTGTGGGATTGTCTCAGGGTTTCCCTTCTGTAGGGGCCAAGCAAAAGGGGATGTATACTGTGGTAGTTCACAAGGTCTGCATCAGCATTTTCTTGGAAGCCCTAAGTCTTTTGTTTGGTAAATTTGGGCTAAGAGGATCCTGCCTGGCAGCATTCCCCGAAACCATAATCTTGCCTGAGCTGAGGTGAAAGTGGACCTCACGGAGGATGAGGCCAAAGAAGCTGCAGCCCGACGCGAGGCGATGCGCGGCGCTCAGCTACAGGCTTTAGGACTTTGGGTTTTCGTTTTCGGGCTCCAGGGTCTTAGAGTATTAGAGATTTAGGGTTTAGGGATTTGGGGTTCAGGGCGTCTAGGGTTGGGGCATTTCGGGTTTTAGGGATTTAGGGTTTAGCAATTCCAAAGTTGCAGGACTGGAGTGTTGGGGGTTTGGGGGCCTCAAGAATTTCATCTTGGGCAATGGGCATTGTGATGTTCCGAAGTGCTGGCTCATATTCTCGAACAATATATGGTTTCCCAAAATGAGGGGTACCTTTCTTGGGGGCCCCAAGAAAAAACCAAAGTTCTTTGGTGTCTATATTNNTTGCCCCCCCCCCCCCCTTTTTGCGAAGCTACTAACCGCAGGAATTATCTAGGGTTATTACCCCCAAAATAGGAAATCAAATGGGACAGAGATGCTACCTGAGCACTGCGAAACCTACACGTCAGGTTCCGCCGTGCCAGCGAGTTTGCTACTGAGCCTGCGGTGCAGATGGTTGTATAAGAGAAAGAATGTTTGAAGACCAAAAGCGTCAACGAGTTTTGGACGCAGCCTCGAGTTGCCGGAGGTGCTTGGCCTCCTTCGGTTGATACCCAAAATCCTTCATGACCAGAAGTACCTTATACCTTGGAGAATTATTGTGGTCCATCATTGTCATGCAGGACTTTTTGTGTCAACAGTTCCTGTGCTCCTTTGCCTTTAAGGGGGGCTTCTGGTGCCGGCACGCACGAAAGGTCCCCTGAGGAGCACTGTAAGTGTTTAGAGCTGCGCTAGTGCGAAGTGAAAAGACCGCTACTTGGAGGTTCCTTGGCAGATGTAAGTGGGATCAAAACTTCCGCAAAGTGGGTTGCACCTCTGCTTATCTTACGGTTCCTGCCGCTTATTATGCCGACGCATGAATCTCCAAATAATGTTTGGACCGTTGCCGCAACCAGAAGGCCAATCGCCTGGTCCTCGTAAGCTCCATGACCAATTATGTATACATGTGCATACTACATACCAATCAAGTGTTGATATGAACCCTAAAGTGCACACCGCCCCATTTTACACCAATGCATGCCCTGCGCAGATCGCCATCATGCGTCTCCTCCGGCATGAGAATGTGGTCAGGCAAGCTGCCAGTGCGACACTGGCTCAAGTTTCGCGATGCATCATACGTACATATAATAGGGTATCTATATTGGGGTTATATCGGGATAATGGAAAAGAAGATGGAAACTATTGTAATGGGTTAGATAGGTTGATCATGGTCTGTTTGTGTGTCTCTAGTAAATTAATATTTGGTGTCATGCAACACGCCATCGATTCACCGTATCATTCGTTCTTTTGTTGCTACGTAGTTACTCATGATCATCAGAACGATTCGTCTCAGTCTGTGACATCCATTCCTCACATACAATCTTTGCATGTGTTTTCTATGCTTGGGCTTGTCGTTTAAATCCTTTGGTGGCCTGTCTGCAGGTGTTACGATGTGTTCATTGAGGCGTGGTTGCCACAACGCGCTCCACCGATAGAGCACAGAGTGGGAATCCATGGAAGAAATGACATGACAGGGTCTGAGAGACTCATATCATTTGTATTGCCAATACTGTAGAAGACTCTGAAGCCAGACTTAACCCCTCCCTTGGACCTAATCCCAATAACCCTGTTCCTGGGTTGCTCTTAGGCAGCTGTTAGGGAACTCAAATGAAGTTACTATAACAAGGAAACTTAATAATCAACTCCAATTGCCCATTTTATGATCATTTACAGTCAGCTCCCAAACAGCAACCCTGTTCTTACAGCCCTTCCTCAGCGCTGTGGGGAGGCACAGTTCGTAAATGTGGTCGTCGACATGTTTAACGGTGGCGACCTGGTGGACGGCCTCAATGCCCACCGACGGGCCCAGCTCCCACTGTCCAGCAATTATGTCTCAGTAATGGGTTTAGGATTTAGGGTTTAAAGTTTAGGGTTTAGGGGGGTTCCCAAAATTAGGGATAATTAGGGCTACTATTTTGGGGGGTCCCCCTAATGAGGATTACATTTTCTATGGGGTCTATGTTGGGGTCCCCCTATTGTGGGAAACTACCACCTCACAGGAACAGCATCAATTGAAAAGAATTGTACGAGTGGCAGGCATTCGGAACACAAATAGACGGAATACAAACAGAAGCTGCAGCATTGTATAAACTCAGTAGTGGTAGTGATGTTGATCCTACCAATGCATTTGGCAAGGTTGATCAGGGGGTGGTGGTGGTTCTTGTTATCCTGACCTGAATGACAGGAATAATGGTCAGAACAGAAGCAACAACGGGCACCATCAACATCACAGCTTCAATCACCATCGTACCTGTCGAGCCCCAGTGTGGCCTGAGGCCTATGGGCGAGTGCCAAACGCGCAGCTAGCCCGCCTTGCGAAGCAAATGATAGCGGCTGTTGCTCATGCGGGGTGCTCGGGGCTGGCTCCCAGCACGCTGCCTGCCTGGTTCTGTTGGCAGAGTCAGATTGATTCACTCAGGGATTCATACTAGCAGAGGAAGAAGTAGTAGTAGCAGCCCTAGAAGAGGAAGCACTAGTAGCAGCAGGATATTAGTGTCAATACTCTTAATAACTTCTGAGAGGTATGACCAGACTCGCTTATAGCATCAAACAGGAGTCGTATGTTCACTGTTTGTACAGTTGCTTCGGACTGGTAACCGGTATAACATCCAAAACTTCAAAAGGGCTTGAAGTAGTCGTCGCACAGCATCCACAGCAGAGGCAGCAGTAGAACGCAAGATTGAGAACACGAGTGGCAGTAATCGCGACTGTGATCACGATCAAGGTCTTGCGAGATTTCCCTTTCTTCCGGCCCTCAACAGGATTATTATTGGAGTGGGCAATCTCCTCTTGAAATCACAGTGTTCTGTGTGTCATGATGAGGTGCACGGCCTTTCCATCATTCACAGGGACGTCAAGGCCGGGCTCAGGCTTTGCCATGCAGCCAGCGTTCAATTTTGGATCAATGGCTTTGTCACCTGTGATCTGCGCTGAGCAAGTGCATGCTCAAGTTTTCTGCCAGGGCGAAAACTTTTTAGCAGATCGTCCAGACATCGGTGATCCTGATGTGAAGGCCATGCTTGCTACAGAGACATGAAGTGCATCAAGGGATCATCTCATGAAAGCTTGGATGGATACCCTGAACCCGTGCACCTCCTGTCATTTACCCTCCCCCACATTACCGGNNCCCCCCCCCCCCCCCCACATTCCTTCGTCAGACTTGCTGGAGCAAAACTGTAGGTGCTTATGTAAAAAGCTCCAGATCGTCCGCCTTTGGATATATCAGAATAGGATCCCAATATGCCCCATATTCTATNNCTATCTACTTAAGAGGGGCTATAGTCTGAAGAAGTGCAGCTTTTTGATGCTGGTTGCTCTTGTGATGCCACTTTGGCTCCAGCATTGCTTGTGCCTTACCCCGGACAAATGCGAAAAGCCTCGAGGCAGCACTGGTGTTATGGGTTTAGTGCTCAGAATCCACCAAATCTACCAAAGGGAGCTTATGTAGGGTTTAGGGGGTATGGTTTCCATTTTCTTTTCCATGATCCCTATATAGCCCGTATGAAGACCCTAGTATGATATAGTAGTTTCCATCTTCCATTATAGGGATAACGGAAAAGAAAATGGAAACTATTATAATTCAAGGGTAATTGTATTGGGTTACAGGGGGCTATATTAGGGCTACATTGGGGTTATGTTGGGATGATGGAAAAGAAAATGGAAGCTACTTGGTTTCGCTCCATGCCGTGAGGGGAAGCACATATTGCCTTTGCACGAGGAGTGCTATAGTCCCCCTTAAGTAGATAGAATACGGGGTATATAGGGATCTTATTGTAATATACCCAAAGCCATATTCTATCTACTTCAGGGGGACTATACCCTACACCCTAAACCCTAGATGGTGGACCCCTCAACTCCAGCTGAGGTGCTTCCGCTCCTCATTCCTTTTGTGGGGCTCACTCAGGAGAGCGCCAGGGAAGGTTTAGGATTAGGGTCCTGGTTTAGGGTTTAGGGTTAGTTTCAATTCCATCAGATATGAGAACAGAATCTATCGGTTTTGGCGGATAGTCCTAAACCCCCAACAGCTCTACAAGCTGCATACTCCGTACAAGACTCCCCATCTACGACGATGTCACGCACCTTCTTTGATCCCTTGATTGTAACCTGGCATGCTTGGGGTCCATGAGGGTACCCCATTAGGATAATGGAAAATAAAATGGAAACTACTATAGTATATAGGGGTTATGTAGGGATAATGGGAAATAAATTAGAATCTACTATATTATACAGGGGGTGCAGGGGGTATATAGGGGTAATGGACAAGAAAATGGAAACTACTATTTAGGGTAATAGGGGCCTGTATGTCTCCAGCATGCTTAGAGCTTACTCAGTCCTAGATGCCAAACCCTACATCGTGAATCCCGTAAACCCTCTAAGCCCTAAAGCACTGACATCCTAAATCCCCTTGGCCACTAAACTTCCGAAACCTTCCAAGACCCCTAGAGCCCTCAAGTGGTGCGAGGAGCTCCCCCTGGTTTCAGATGATGAGTGTGCGGATTCCACTTGTGCGTTAACAGCGCTGCAGAAGAAAGGCTCCGTGTGGGAGCTTTTCCGAAAATGAGCGTCTGAAGGACTACAATTGTTTAATGGGGGTGTGTAGGGACGGTTTCCAAAAATCAGGGGTCCTGCTTTGGGAGTCCTGCAGGTCGGACCTCTGTTATGAAGCACATTGCGGGGCCGTCTAACATGTCTTTCATTATGGGACAACAGACCATGTGCGCATTGCGGTAAAATCGGTTTAGTTTGTCCAGCTGTAAGGGTAGGAGTTGTGTTGAGGGGTTTGGGAAATGGGGTCCACATTTGGATTTTGGAGTGATGATACAAGGGCCGTTGCAGATGGCTCATGTCTTCCCTTCACAGCATCCAATGTACTTGATTGGATCGTGGATGCACATCATCCCTCATCCAGCTTGGTAATCAGAGTCCAGGTGCCGGAAAGTAGTTGGCAAGACTCTGCAAAATGGTGCCAACGCGCTGCACTTGCAGGTACGATAAAGAAGAAAGACAAAGTGGGTTGCCACACGACGCAACCCGGAGAGAGATGTGCCCGTGAGGCAGGAGACGCCGCATGGATTTTGATCAATGTGTTCTTGAGAAATACAGAAGCCTGTGTAAAAGATGCAGTTCTGTGGTATCCTCCCGTATTCATCGTATACTAGGGTCCAGAGGATCCCTACACTAGGCGAAGCCAACAGCCCACGCCCAGAATGAAGTCTAGGTTGCAAGAAGCTGGGAAAGTCTCAGGTTGTAACCCGTGCTCAATGCTCCTTTCGAGTTACGACTATGGATTGTACTACTTTACATCCCCATATTTCCCAGTTTCCATTTCATTTTCAATTTTCTTTTCCATTTGATTCTCCAATATAGGGGGATAATATAGTACCTTATCCTTCAAACATCCCAGAGAATCTTCACTGGCAATCAGCATGATAGGAAGAGTATCTGCAGGTCTGGTGGGCTCGAAATGTTGGCATCCGCCTGCGGCTGAGCACCACTCACCTTACCCTGCGATTGAGTCGGGCTCTTTTGTCCTGAATTCTGAGGGCACATCGTAGAGGTACCTTAAGTTGGAGAAATATCTACGAAGTATCCTCTAACGATCTGGAAGACCTTCCAAAAGCTGTGCCAGCACGCCGTGTTTGGATCTTCGGAGCTACGTGTCCTCGTATTTGCTCTACTACCACTATTACAGCTATTGTATGTACTATTGCTGCTGCTTTACCAATTTCCACTACTGCTACTCCTACTCCTGCTGCTGGTTGACCCAAAAGCTTCATGCTTTTTTTGGTTACCTACTCGATAGTTTCTATGATTTTCATTGTTTCTCTACTTCTCAAGCCCAGCTGGAGGCAAACACCCGGACTGGTATCCCAACCTCACTCCAGACTCATCGGTCGTAGACTTCCAGCTGCTGATCCACGACCGAATGCCAGGCTGTCCCGCACATTCCAGTCAAGTTTTTTGAAATGGCTATCTAGGCACGTATAAGGTTCATACAGGCATATATGGGGAAACAAGAAAGTGGAAACCATGATATCATTTTCACCAGGGTGTGCAGGAGTTTTTGTTAGGATTTTGCTGGTAGTGAAGCCCAGTGAAGCCCCAGCTAGCTTGGGGGTGATGTTGGCGCAAACCTTCATGGAGGTAATTGTGGTTGCCAGGCTAGGATCAGGTACTCTGTCGAGCAGTCGTGCATCATTGTTACTGCTTTCATCCTGGCGTGTCATAGCAGTGTGGATTTTGCAGTTGGTATGCTGGCGGATACGAGTGCCGATCTCTGCCACCAACCGAAGTGCCCTTTCATTCGCAACTGTACATGTTTTTCTGTGCATGAATGCAGGTTTAAGCTAAAGCCAAAGCAAACCTCTGCAAGCATGGGAGGCAAGTGCCCCATACCTTGTGGAATCCCGTCTGGAGCTGAGGCGACCATGTGAGCCCACAGAAGACTCTAGAACCTAAGGATAAGCAAGTGTACACTTGTGGATTACATAGGTTTTACTTCGAGGACTTGTTCATAGGTTAGGAGAAGGCTTGAACCTGATCATGTTTCACCAGTGGGATCCCCAAATACCTTAACTTCTAGGGTGCTTGCTGTGGTGATCCATGACGGAAATTTGGCATGCACCCAGATTAGATGTTCAGAATGGGATTTCATAGGGTTCGCTCGAAGGGTCATGGGCAGCTGCCAGTGGTTAAGGCCTCACCGAAATGAGGATGCCTGTGCTTCTCTACTTGTTGATTTTTTTTTCAAAATTCCACTTGGGGTGATGTCAGGGTTATAGGTGGGTCATACTGTTATAATGGAAAATCAAATGGAAACTATTATATTACTATGGGAATATCTTGGGATAATCGAAAATTGAATGGAAACTTCTCCATTAAGACATGGGAATATCTTTGGATAATGGTATATTATAATACGGGAATATTTAATGGCTACCGCCAGTG